AGCTCCTACCCTGAGGGTGCCTTAAGAAGTCACCATCAGGTAAAGCTGATGTGTTCAGAGTGATGTGTCATGTGGACCCTGAGCTTAGAAAAGACGTGCAGTTCCAGTTGACCCACACTTTGATAAAAGTAAAAGTAGTAAAATACTAATCTTACTTTCCTCCTTTCCTTGTTCTTAATTTGCCAAAACTTAAGCTAAAAGTGCCAGTAAAATTGTTTGGTTGTTAACATCAGAACTGAAGTTTTACTGTTCTATATAAGTAATCTGAACTGAAATTCGGATGCAGGTTTTATCTCATTTAACTCTGACGCTTGTTATAGGAATAACCACAATCAAGTGTCCTTATGATCTGTTCAATTTGTGTAAATAAATGATTGCATAGTTTTTATGAATCAACTTGAACTCGTCTGAACGTTCACTTATTGTGTCACTTTTCACTTCGCACAGTCAAGATATTAACAAGTAATGAGAAAATACCTTGGTAAACGTTTCCTCATAACCTTGTGTATGAGAGATGTAGGAAAAGCTTAATGCCACCTTAAGCTCACTCTTACAACCTCCTGAGCGTGAAGCCTGGTCAGAGCTGCACCTGTCCACAGGTGAACAGGTAAACAATGGTGATAAATAACAACAAACTGGTTTATAATGGAGGGAAGCTGGATGGTGACTCAGCCAGTGGCAGGTCTGGGATTTTTCTGAGTAAGGGGCCACGTCTCTGTTCAGCATTTTTACACATAAATCTCTGGTTTTGGGAACCACACACATGTTCAAACACTGGTAATGTAATTTTAAAAAAGTCTGTTACCAACTTCACATGAATTTTTACAACACATAGATAAAACACACAAACACACAGCATCCAGCCATCATCTGTGAGCTGAGAGACTTTTTCTGCAGGAATGTTAAAATTTAAGAAGAAGACTTCTGTCAGCTTGATTCATGCTGGACTTTTCTACTGGTCTCATAGAAGACAGGGGCCAGTGCTGGCTCTAGCCATTTTAGTGCCCTAGGTGAGTTGAAGTGCAACCCCCCCCACCCCCCCGCGAACTATGTCCCACCCCCATTTGAACCCCTAAAAACAAGTTTGACAGTGTAAGGTACCATGGTAAACTTAGGTTTATTTGCTTTCACAGAAAGCAAATAAATAACAACAGACATGTGAAGTTGTACAGATTATCTTTAAATTATAAGGATTTTACATCATTTTGCAGGTATACAGACGTATAGAGCAATCTCACAGATTTTTTCTTAAACCTCATTTTCAAAATTATCTAACATGTCAGAGCCTGCAGGATGATTTAAAAAACAATAAATAACATTAAATATCAATCTTCCAACCTGTTCTGCTGCTAGAAATAAGTTTTTCTGCTCTCCTTTCCTCCTGCTTCACAACAAGTCTGGATGCAGACATGTTAAGGATCCTTCATGTGATCCAGCAGATTTAATGTTTTATCAGAAACCTGAATCTGATCATCTGATCCAGATGTTTGTGCAGTGAAATATTTTCCAGTTGTTTGAGGAGCAGACAGCTGTGATGTGTTTCCTGTCGTCCTCCTGAGGTTTCTGCTCCACGCTGACCTTTGTGTTTTCCTCCGCTGCTTTGTTTGTGTTGATCTGTTTGGAGACGTGTGTGTTGTAGAGCAGGGAGAACAAATCACCTGCTGCTCTGCTCATTAGCAGCAGCTGCATGTCAGAGCTGAGATCAGCTGTCAGCAGCTAAACCTTCACCTTTTACTCACTGGTTAACAGCTAGACTGCTACAGCTACTGGTACAGCTGCTACTGCTGCTGATACAGCTGCTACTGCTGCTGCTACAGCTGCTCATGGTTTATTTTTGTAAATGTCAGAAAAATAAAACGAGACGAGAACATTTAGCGTCAGGTTTATTGTAGAAAACACTGCTGTTGGCACATTTCTCTACTGACAAACATAAAAACAACATTTAAACATTAAATCTGCATAAATATCCTGATGGAAACTTTAAAAACCTTGATGTCAACATAACAGATGAAAAACACAGATTTAACAGTCTGATTATTTAAACGTTTGAACATTAACAGATATTAAAACATTAGATTTATTCAACACATGAAGGAAATATGTTTGCAAATGTAAACTTTAATTTTAAATATTAAAATGATCAAAGTGCTGCGATGAATACTTGTTGCATAAAAACAGTAAATTCAGATATGTTCAGGTGAATGTTTTGGTTGTTGAACAGAACCGTTTGGCTCTGAAGCTACATCTGTTAGATTGAATAAAAATAAAACTAAAAAGGAACAGTCTGTCTGCTAACAGCAGGAATCACAGTGAACCTGATTCAAACCCAACATCTGCAGATTGAATCCTTGATATGATGCAGATCATGTTTGAATTATTTTAGGTTTTACTTCAAATAAAACATTAAAATCAAACTAAACTTCTGCCTGATTTATCAGAGAAAATAAAAATAATAAATTCATTCAGTTATAAACCAACAAGTAGAGATTTTCACTCAACTGCACACAGCAGGAGGAGCACGCTAGCTCGTTAGCTTAACGAGATAATCCACCTTAGCTGAATGTTAGCATGTGTTAGCTAGCTCAGAGGTAGCATGCATGTGTGATAATAGTTATATTTAACTCATGTTAGCATGGCAGCGTTAGCATGTGGCTCATCGTTAGCTACTGGAAACATAAATTTGGCACAATTTTAACTGCTTATCTGATGAATCCCTGATGTTTGGATTTATATGTGTTTATTCTTCAGTTCCTGTCCCCCACCTGTCC